TGTTTCCATCCAACAGGCTGCCATGCCAACCTTTTCTATGCTGATGCTCCCAAGCCACAGTTGGAAGTGCTGACCGATGTTTTCTGGGATTACATTGCCAAGGCCACACAGACAGCTGATGATACACTCCAGATGATAAGAAACTCTCCAATTGGACAAGAAGTCAAGTAAGTTCTTTGACACACTGCACTAGCATGACTGGCCCTATGATGGGCATATGCCTCATGACTGTCATGGGGTCATTCAAGCCACTGATGATCTGGCAATCACTATCTGTCCTCTAGTGCCCGGCTGACAGAAAGCGCTGACTTAGCCAGCAAGTATGCAGTCACCCTCCAGGAACAGCTTCAGCCTGCAGCCCAGGACCTGATCACCAAAGTTACCACAGAGGCTGATGTGTTGAGAGAACGTGTCACGCAGGAACTAAACACAGTCAAGGAGAAGCTCCAGCCCTACACTGAGAACATGCAGACCCAGGTTCATCAGAGAGTGGAGCAGCTCAAGCAAGAGTTGGTTACTTATGCAGATTCCCTGGACTCTGAAGCCCTAAGGACCACCCTGATGCAGAAGAGTGAGGAGCTAAAGACCAGCCTGGAGCAGAGTGTAAAGGATCTGCAGTCTCAACTGGGTCCCTACACAGATGACCTGAAGCAGAAAGTGGACCAGCACCTGCGGGACTTCCAAAAACGTGTTGCCCCTATGACTGAAAAAGTCCATGTAGAGCTCACTCACAGAGCGCACCTGGTGAAACAAATGGTTGCCCCTTATGCAGAAGACCTTAAGGAAAAGCTTGACCCCTATGCCCAAGACCTCCAGGCCCAACTCATGTCCCTCTACCAGTCCTTTGTCAACACAAACTAAGTCACCCTCCATCTACTATATCATTTTCAAAGATACCGGACTTGCTGGTCTACCTCTGTTTTGAAGGAATACAATAATTGAATATCTGTCTTGTACTGTAAACAATATCAAAGTCTTTGCACCCCACCACCACATTATTTATGGATAAGTGCAAAAATATTAAAACAAATCCCTGCACTTATCAAAAATGTAAATATTCCGGTTTTATTGTGTTGTGAAGTTTGAAACTGTGACCCTTTTGTAATTTCACTAAGTTATCTGAAATAAATACAAAAATCTGGAAATTATTCATCTGGCTAACTTTTGAATCGACTTCTCTCTTTTACACAAAGTGAAACTCTAGAAAGAAATCTCATCGCGAAACATCTTGTTTCAACACAAACTATGACAAAGTATGATGAGAAGTGGTTCTGAAAGCACACAACAGTGAATTCTTCCATGTGTTTGAGTGATGCACAGATAGATGGAGGGACCACACGGGGTCACAAGAAACAGTAGTGTGTGTGTGTGTGTGTGTGTGTGTGTGTGTGTGTGTGTGTGTGTGTGTGTGTGTGTGTGTGTGTGTGTGTGTGTGTGTCTGTTCATGCATGTGTTTGCTTTTTCTTTCTTTCTTTTTTTCCCCCAGGAGGCAAAAAGTATTTTGACTCCAATGTCTTAACATGTCCTGGCTTCTGCAAGAGTTTCGGCTTCTAGTTTTTCCAGAGGCACTTTTGTTCTTCTCAGTGCTTGCCATTAAAACTACACATGACATATATCAACAGCAAAACTGAAAAAAAAAAGCTGACCAATGTAATCCAAGAGACTAAGAAGTTAATCCCTTCGATCCAAAGGATTTAGGATTTTACATTGTCATGAAATTTGACATATTTTGCATTTATTGAACCCCCCACCCCACGCAAAACCCTGAAACTGTGCCTGTTGTTGTAACGCCTGGTCTTATCCCTCTTATCTTGCCCCTACTGACAGTGCCAGCATCCAACGTGGAGGGTTAGAGTCCAATAACAATAACAACGCATTCACATGCACACACAACACACACAAAACATCTGTTTCCTGATTATTTACTACTGCTCTGCTTTTTTTTTTGACTGATTCAATGGGTAATTTACTTGTATGTCTAAAGGTCTGTCCTACATAAATAAATCTAAATCCTTAGCATCCATTCTTCCCTAAATGCAGTTAGTGATAAGGATTGCATTCAATGAGAGACACGCTCCTCAAATTGCTCTAAAAGCTCTGTGAGACTTTTGAAATGCAAATCTGATTACAAATGTTTGTGTTTCAGCCTGTCTTTATACCTCATTAGCACTTGTGTGGGGAGCAAAAAGGACTATTCAGATTCTCTTATCAGTCAAATGGCCAAAAGGTATTGTTAAGGAGCCTTTGCTGGTATCTGCTCCCATTAAACTCTACAACACAGTCCACTAGGTTCTTTTTTTCTTTTTTCCCCCCGAACAAGACACATCTTGCCTTGCACACCACGAAAGCAAACGGCGATCTGATTTTGTTTTGATGTAGATAACAGGTTGTTACTAGACCTTTTCTTCTCTGCTTGACAAGCAGTGATAAGATAAATATCGCATGTCATTGGATCATTAGAAATGATCTCAGGTCATGGCGTTTGTTTCTCAATCTTATGAATATG